AAGAAAGAAAGAAAGAAAGAAAGAAAGAAAGAAAGAAAGAAAGGAAAGAGAGAGAAAGGAAGGAAGGAAGGAAGGAAGAAAGAAAAGAAAGAAAGAAAGAAAGAAAGAAAGAAAGAAAGAAAGAAAGAAAGAAAGAAAGAAAGAAAGAAAGAAAGAGAACTTCAAGGGGAAATGAATGCAGTTGACATTCTGCGAGCATACAACCCAACTGAAGGGGAAGAAATATGCATGCATTCTAAGACAGTGGGCTATGAACTTTGACCACAGCCACCACCATCATTACTCAATGTGTCTCCAAAGGGAATGGAAATCATTGGTCAATCCAGCGAGACAAGTGGAAACTAGAGAAAGTGCTACAAATTTGGAATGAGTGGAGTGATGGAGTTGGGGAGGTCAATGACAGAAAGGTAATTGTTCAACAATGTATAGTGGCCATAGCATATCGCTTTCAAAGAATTTTGACCCAGCTCCAATATTAAAAGAAATAACAGGGGTGAAACCTTTGAGGTAAACAATACACTCTTCTTCATGTAGATTACATATTCCAATGCATATTGCTTTAAAGGACAAGCGAGGAAATATGACAGCAACTTGATAGTATTTCAATGCATGCACAAAACATTTTTGTGTAATTGAAATATGCCTAAGATAGTGTTTTAAAGTTTTCATGGATTATTAGTATGATGAAGAGTCAGTCCTTACCTTAAAAAAAAACTTGAAGAAGATAGATAATTTATTTCAGTATTTTAAATGCAAAATAAAAGTTGAGAAGTATTATAGGAGAAGAAACAGTGGCACGGGAATTGAGAATAAGGAGAGAGGGGGTTTGGATGTGAGGATAAAGGAGTTATTCCTGAAAGATATGGCATGGGATTGGATAAGCACACAAAAGAAGAAATGGAACATAAGTGGGCAGAGGGAATAAATCAGGCTTTGGGGAGAACAGCAAACAATATGATTTGACTGGGAATTAGGGAATTTAAAAGAAAATTGAAAAAGATTGGCAAGTGAGAATGGGGTGGATAAGCTGGAGCCTGGCTGAGATAAGATAAGGAAAACTGAGTGTTTAAGAAGGGACAGTAATGGTATACTAAAAGTAGCCACTGTGATTGGGGAAGGTCTCTGGACAGAGGCCATTGATCCCTACTTCCGTATGTTAAAGCCAGTGCCTTAGAGTTCTTATACCAATTGCGATCAGCCCTGGTGATGTTAATAAATTCTATACCTTGGTAAAATGAAGTAATTAAATTACACTAAAGGAGAGGTATAAGAATTTTTTTAACTTGTCAGTTTTATTTTTTTACTGATGAGTACATGTGTGTAGTAAGTAATGTTTGCATTACTTGTTGGTACATGGATATAACATCCCAATTCCTTATCCCTTCCCTCTCTCATCCCTCCATCCCTCGATCTCCTTCTCTTTGAGAAAGATCTATCTTCCTATATCGTCTTTTATTTTGCTCTTTATTTTTACTCTGAGTTTCTCATGTAAGAGGAACAATGTGCTATGTAAGCTTTTGTGTCTGATATATTTCATGTAATATGGTATCAAGGTGCATCCATTTTCCTACAAATGACTCCAGTTTTTCTTTATGGGAGAATAGTACTGCATGGTGAGTAAATACCACATTTTCTTCATCCATTCATCTGCTGCCCACATGTCCATCGGGAATTTTTTTTTAAATATGGCAGGTGTGGGTAAGGTTTTACCACATAGTAACACTAATTTTACAAGAATGTGTTGTTCTTCACTTGAGAACTTAGAGCAATTAAATACATCTGAGCTTCCAGACTGTTCTGTCTAAACCATGGATTCAGGAAGAACAAACCACTCTTAGTGTCACTTATCCAGTCACCTTTCATCTTCCTGTCTTTCAGGTGGCTTGAAGCAATGGACAAAGCAGCCCATCCCATCCACCAGGTAAGGTTACCTGGACATTTATCTCTGCCTTCATTCCGGCTTTTCTTTTTAGAGGGTGGAAGCACCAAGTGAGGTGTCCTGCAGTCCACCCTGGGCTTCTTAGATCTATTTCAAAAGCTGGCGAAAGAGATTTCAAGTCAGCAGGATTTTCTGCTTATATCCTCCAGGGCAGCTTACATTCCTGCTGCTGTTTTTATTTGGGGGGATTTGTATGACATCTCTTCCAGTGAGACTCAATGAGGAGTTGCAAAGTGGGGTGGAATTTCTGTTTTGCACAGAGCAGTCCAGTAGTCTTTCATGAGAACAAAACAATGCTGCTGCTTTCTTTCCGCTTGCAAAATATAAGATCTCAGGGACATCTTGGGATGATGCTGTTGGCTAGCACTTAGAGAATGAGTCACTAGATTCAGATTTACAGTGCTTTATGTTCAGATCCTTATACTGTAGACATATCAGGACAACTTTCACAATCCCTTTCTGTCCCTCATTACCAACTTCAGACCAATATAATTTTTTGTTTAGAATTCACCTACAAATTAACGGATAATTTTATAATATTAACAGGTGAGTCCTCATTTCTGTCCCTAAGCCACTTGATAGTTCTCTTCCTGAGCTCGTGCCACAACCTGTTGAAGAGAAAATTGTTTTCATACCCAATTGTTTCATTTTTTTTTTTTTGCTATGGATGTGACTTCTAATGAGGTTACAGATTTTCTTTAAATATGCTTATTTCCTCACATAATGGCACACAAGCAAAAAGAAAAAAAAGGCTTTCACTATCAATTATCTTCTCTACATAATTTGGCTCTTATACATTTGAAAAAAATTCAGATTATGTGAATATGAATGTACCTTGCCTTGTAACTGCCCTTTCAGAACAATCACGAGCGTCATCATATGACAAACAGCAAGACACGTGTTTCATTTTATCTGCAACACAACGCTCAGCACTCATCCACCTCTCCAGTGCATCATGCTAATGAGCCTGGATATTTTTAAAAGGTATCTATTCTGCTAATGCACTCAGAGTGTCTGCAGCAGAGTGAAAAAATGAACACCCAAACCCCCAATAGGCTCCCGCCTCACAGCAAAGAATACTGCCAGCTCTGCATTCTGAAATCTTTTCTACTCCTTGTTAAGACTAAAGGGCAAAAATAAAACCAAACAAAGAAGAGAAAATGGCAAGCACAAGCAGGGTGTTCTGATAAAGAGATGAAGCAGCGTCTCCAGTCTCAGGTCAGAGTTCTCAGAGCCTTCTCCCGGGCCTGTGGACAGAGGGCTGCCCCCCAGGGTACAGGGTCCTCATTTATCATCAGCCTTCCACATCACGGACCATGAGAACCTAAGGGTCTGAGCTGGCCCCAGGCATTTAACTTGTTCATCTGCACAGATGGGAGTTCCACAGAAAGAGAAGCAGGAGCTGGGGGCTGCTGTTATTCACGGCGGACTTACCACGAACAGGCCTAGGAGGACAATCCTCCAGTGAGTGAGATGGCAGAGCAGGCCCTGCACTCATAGACAGGGAGGTTAAAAGTAGTCTTTGCTGAGGTGTCTGTTTCCATTTCACTTTTCTATAAGGACGCCTCTGCTCTTTCGCCTACAGTCTTTTGATTTCCTCCAAATGTAACAGAAGTCCAAGAGAAGGGATACCTATGGGCTTGGAAAGGGAGAAAAGTTCTCTATAGACAATGGGTAAATTACGGTTTTGGAGCTTGTTGCTCAAGTATGCAGACTGTCTTAGCAACAGGACATTCAGGGCAGTAACCTCCTGAAAGTCAAGCTGACTGGGTGCTGCTGGCACTAGAAGTCAAGGGCTCTTGGTGCTGGGTGACCACTCAGAGAATTCCTTTGTGCTTCCCCCCCAGAACCACGTCTGGGAAGACGTGACTCTGCACAACAGCAGCCTCCCACCCCTGGCTATCAAAAACCCCAAGTGCCTGGGTCTCCTGCACCAGCTGGATAGAGGCCCAGATGTGTGGGTCCAGCACTATTGTGTTCTGAAGGATGGCTGCTTGTATTTCTATTTTAGCATTCGCTCCACCCAGGCTTCAGGTAAGGAATTACTATTTGAAATAATTGCAGTTTCTATAATAGCTTTATTGAGCTTTTACTGGGCCCTGTGCTATATGTTTTATCTAAATTAGTTCATCCAAAGAAGAGATACTATCACTGTTTCCATTCTACAGATTAGAAACCTGGCTGTAAAGTCTACATAATTTGACAAATCGTGAGTAATAAAGTTAAGCAATGGAGCCGAGATCTGAAGGCGACCAGGCAAATTCTAAAACTTATAACCTTGACCCCTCACTTCTGCAGCCTAGGAAAGTAAATATAAATTCCTCCACTCTTTCACTTATTGGTGGCATCCAGGGTCAATGACAATCTTTTTCTTAGATAGGGACTTTACCCCTAGGATCTCCAGTTTGGATAAAAAGGACACCGACTACTTTCTGTGAGGAAGTGGTTTACTTTCCTAAAAATCAGTTTCCTCTTTTATAAAGTGATAATAACTGCTATTTCACAAGACTATTGTGAAGTCCAATGAATCATTGCTGCTAAAAAGGCTGTGCACATAATGCTTTCTGTATAAACAGCTCTCATTACATAGGATGTTCATTTATCATGTATTTTGTTATATACACATTATATACTTAGTAAAATTATATACTCTAGTTAAAAGCTATATATAAAATGATTATGCAAATAATTTAACATAATAATAATTATACATAATTTCCCACAAAATAGATTTTAGCTTTCTTGTAATTTCCACAAAATAAAATGGCTATTGAGTTTTGTCATACGAATAATAGTTAAATAATGAGCAGTAGTAAGCATCCTGAAATCTGAGTCATTTGATTTCCATTTTTTGGCATTAATGTTTATGTTTAATTAAGCTAATTAGTCATGCCAAGGGAAAAGGGTGTCCATTTTGACTTTTTTGGAAGTTTCCCAGAAATACAAAGTTAGCATCACTTCATGGCCCGTTTTTCATCAATCAGGATAAATAAACAATGCAGTGACTCTTCTCTACCTGGTCACACTCCCAATTTTAAACATTCTCCACATTGTCACACAGCTGTGAAGAGACAGATAGCAACTCTAAGCATTTACAGAACAGGCTGTTTCTATGCTACCCATAGCCATGGTTTTAAGCAGCTGATATCAAGATAAGAATTAAGGTAAACAAAACAATTAAACTTCCAAAGCAGTCACTGACTGGGACATTTGTTATAAAATATCATTACAAAAGACTGAAGCCTTTCAATTGGCAAATCAGTTAAAGCAATTTTCAAGAGAATGTTTCCATAAATAGAAAGGAAATGCTTTAAGATAGAAGGGACATATTACCCCAAACCCTAAAATGTTCATAAAGTACTTCCAAACCTCTGGAACTCAGAGACTCTTTCCAATTCTGAGAGTTTAAAAATAGTAAATGACAACCACCAGGTGGCTTCCCTGATTCCAAAAGGTCAGAGCAGACTGTAATAGGGTAGGGAAGTCCTAGTTAGACAGCTGCGAGTTACTGCTATTAAATAGCCTGAAAATAATAACAGCAAAAGCAGCAATTATCATTCTGTGAGTGCAGCTTTTGTACCAGTCTCTCTGTTAAGTGTTTTTACCTACCATTTTGTTTCATTTCTAAAAGAGCCTTAAAAAATAAGTTATTATTTCACCGACAGGTTTGGAAACTGGTGCTTCGCAAGGTTAAATAATTGGCCCAACTTCCTCTGGATAGTAAATGGTGAAGACAGAATTTAAACCCAGGTAGCTTAAGTTATACCAACAAAAAGAAGACATCCATCCATACATAGGGAAACCTGGAAGGCTTGTTTATTTTGGGCTCTTATCACTGCACATCTCTATGAAGAAGCTTTCATGCTTGCCTGCTGAGCACTGTAGGACTTTACCTTTCCTACAACTACTTTATCTGGCTTTCTCTTTCCCCTCTTGCCTTAATGCACCTTATACTCCACCGAAGAACATCATAGTCTATTTCCTTAGCAATCTTGCTTCCTGGACCTGCTTCTGATTCGGTACCTTTGCTTGTGCTACCTCCTTTCCCTGAATTCTTCTGTACCTTGGGCACCCAGTACAAGCTGTCCTTGAAATTCCTTTTTAAATACCTTCCATTTCTGCTCTGAAGCAATCCTTGATGGTCCTAGATAAACAAACCTCACTCCTCTGCAGTTACCTATCTCCTGATACGTATGACTTTCTACCCAGTATTTTATCTCTTGATGGCCATCTTATCTTTTCAAGGGAAACATATGTTCCAGAAATGACTATATGTTTATCAATCAATAAAGAAATTAAGAAATGGCTACTTGATGACCTCAATTGGCCATTATTTCCAAGAATTATGAGTCTTTTCACTCATATAGCAGAGAAAGATTTAAGGATTCCACAGCTAATTCAAAGGCAAAAATAGCACTCAGCCTACCATATAGCCTTTCTATATCTATTCACATTCTGCTATATCACATTCTGCCTAGCTTTAAGGAATTATCTAATTTCCATCTCTTTTTAAATTTCTCTCTTCAAAATAAGCCCTTTCATTCTTTTCCAGCTTTGCTTCCTAAATATTCCTGTCTCCACAAATCCTCAATTTATAGGCCCAATTATCTCAAATATGGATTAAAACAATATTTTCTTTATTGAAATGCCAACAGGAAATTTATACTTAGCCCATGTTCTAAAGTAGAAACCTGTGAGTTTTGTTGTTGTTGTCACTGTTTTTACATGATTCTACTGTTCTCTGAATAAAAAATACAATGTGTCTACCACTCCCACTCTGGTTCTTGCTTCACAGGAAAGACCCCCTGGGGGTCATTACCTGCTAAGTTTCCTTCGGGGTTGAAGTGGCTGTGCACCAGCTCTTCCTAAGTACTTCAGATTTGAATTTTAAATCGAGATTTACATTTCCTTTCTAAGAGTCCAGCTGAAGCTTCTTGTACATCATACCTTGAATCATAAACTGAGGCTCATAGCTGGTGATGCAGCATAATGAGACTCCAGGCAGAATGGAGGCAGGGCCAAATCTCCTGCAGGAAATTCTCAAATAGAATATGCCCTTCCCACTCTCCACGAACAATCACTGCCCTGGAGACCCACGTTTTTTCAGGGGACGAGAAATATACTTCTTAGGTGTATTATTACAGAGGGAAAGTTAGCACTGAGAACTTTCTCCATTTCAAGGACTATGATAAACACTTAATATCCCTTAAATTTCCATAACATCCATTGTTATTTTCCCATCATAGGTGAGAAACTTAGATAACACTTAATTCACATGCTAATAGTTACTCAGCAATTAAGGGATTAAAAGCAAAATGGGAACAAATTCTGTTTGAATCCTGTGCCCAAACTCTGAGCCACAATGCTATATGTAGTACATACCTTCTGGCAGAAATTTCTCTTCTTAAGGTAGCACTAGGTCAGAAATGTGTGTCTGTTCTTTGCACACTGGATATCAGCCAACCAAATTAGCCAAGGGTCCACCAGTCAAGTATTTATCATAGGAACCATAGGAATTGTGGGAACAGCAGTGGCATTTCTTGAGAATGGCTGAACCCATGCTAAACTATGAATACTATAAGCACTGCAATGCTCATTTTCACCTAATCAATTTATATGGGTGGAACATGAATCATTATGTGTCATAAAGACTATGCTAAATTCTAATATTCATTTTCAGTTCTTCTAAGTGATGCTGAGTAAAGGATCCTTACAGGTCTTATTTGTAATTCCTCCTTTACTTGTAGTGTACCAGCTCTACTTGGCCTTACACATCCCACACTGGTCTAATCCCTTGTTTTCTTGTCATAACCTCGAAGCAGGCCTTCATTTTTACACCAGTGCTTCTCAACTCTCAAGTTTGGTTCTATGAGCAAATCATGCAATCAGTGTAGTTGGTTGTGATGAATATTTTAAAAACAATTGAATAGAATTTAATTGAATAGAAAATATCACTCATACTTCGCAATACTTTCGGTCAATAATATGAAACCATGTGGATCTGCATTTATTACATGTTTAGATTACTATCAAAAGAGTTATGAAAATACTAACATACAGTCTCTGCATAGTGCTTGCATTAGTCCTTGTACCAGTCTGGTCAGCTTTAGGCCAGACTCAGAGGTGCACACCTGTAATTTCAGGACTCAGGAGCCTAAGACAGGAAAATCATTTGAACCCAACAGTTCTAGACCAATCTAGGCAACATAGTAAGACCCTGGCTCCAAAGGGGGGGAAAAGTCAATTTTATGCTCAGAATCTTAGAAACAAAGAATATAAAAAGGATTGCTTCCTTTCAAATATTTTTGTAATACGCCTGCCACTCATTGCTTTGTTCTTGAGAGCCTGGCTTCTGTGACCTGGTGTCTTGGCCATAGCATCTCAATTGTTTTGCTGTTTTATATATTGCTAATTTTATTTTTATTTTTACTCATTGGTTTATGTTTTCCATTAGTGATCTGGGAGGCCTCATGTGATATTTTCTATTTCTGAAGGTGCTTGTAGTTTTGTTGGCATGACTTGTTTCTTGTAATAATAATCTAAAAGCTAAAGGGATACTGAATGACAACAAAGCAGGTGAGGGAAAAGATAAAAGTAATATAGGAGAATACAGCAAGATGTGGGAAGCAAGACAGTGCTAGTTTCCTGTAAGAATCCTATTAGACATTATGAATTCCACATTTTACTTTCAGCTAGATAAATATCCTTTAAAGTATAATGTGGGAATAGGAGTGATAGCCTCATCAGTTCCCTGAAGGCTTTCCTCACTGTCAAGGCAAGTGTTATCCTTGAAGAATATGCATCATTGGCTTGCATATGCCTGCTAATATTTAAAAGCCACTGTGTAAGTATTCCAGGAGCCCCATTAGTCAAATGCCTTTACCTGTGCCTGAAGGCCCTTGTCATTCACCATACACTTGATGACTTTTTTTCCCCTTTTATTGCTCTCCAGCAAAACTTAGCTGTAACAAATCGTGACTGTTGACTATTATTCATGAATAAATCACATCAAGGTTTCTGTGCACTTCTCAGAAATACATATTTTACATTATTGCAGCAAGTGGGACATGTAATGCTTGCACAGTTCTGCAACTAATATTGTGCTGGCTTGATCACTATCACTGCTAACCTCATAACAGAAACAGACTGACCTAGTGAAGTCACCTGCAGTGAAATAATGAGGTGATAACTGGATGTCTTTACTGCCAAACATGTATACCCCACAAATGATTGGGAAAACAGTCAGAAAACTTTCCTTTTTGTGGCAGATTTTTTTGGACTAAACCTATCTATTATCAAAAAGGATACAGACAGGGAAGGGTATTCATATCTTAGCTAAAAAGTAAAAAATCTCACAATGAAGTCTTACAACCAATGAAGTAATCAATGCAGTAACATATAAATGCTGTGTAGCATTGTTTGGAGGAGAAAATTTAGGTTAAAAAATACCCTATGATACTTCTTTAGGTATTCTGATGTTCTAAAACATCTAGCATATTGGCCATTCTACTTTAGGTACACAGCTGAAGAACTGAAAATACACATGTGGACAAAAAACTTGTACATAAATGTTCATAGCAATATTACTCATAATAGCCAAACAATTAGAGAAAATTTAAATGTCCATCAACTAATGAAAGGATAAATAAAATGTAGTGTTACATCCATACAGGGGAAAATAATTCCTCTATAAAAGGAAATGAAGTATTGATGTATGGTATAACAGAGGTAAACCTTGAAAACTCTATGCTTAGTATAGAAGCCACTCACAAAATACCAGGTACTGTATAATTTTATTTGTATGGAAAGTTTCAGAAAAAAATCTATAAAATACAAAGAAGAGTAGGATTGCCCTAGGACTGGCTTGGCACATCATACAGGTAGTGACTACTAAAAGATACGAGATTTCTTTTTGAAGTGATGAAACTGCTCTAAAATGAGCTTATGGTGATGATGACACAATATTTTAAATGGGTGAGTTTTATGATGTGTAAATTATATTTCAACAAAGCCATCTTAAATCTCTCTATATGTACGTATATAAATATAATTATATGAAAGAAATCACCCTTTGATTTTGGTGAGCACCATATACTGAAGCCTACCAAAGGCAAAAACATATCAATTTCTAAAACAAATGTTTTCATAGAAGATAGTTTTTAAATGGACTCTTCTTAAATGAAAATAAAAAGAAATTTGATGTTGCATCAAACCTCGCATAAAATAAACAAGACTTTTTCCTCATCTTTAAAATCCCAAAGTCATTCATTCTGTTTAAAAAGAAACTTCTTGTCTACCAGAGATGGTGTATATTGGTGCTGTGTAAACCCAAGAGGAAAACAAAACTCAGCATCTTACTTTCCCCATTGCAGAAGCACAATGCCCGATACTCTGAAGAGGAACAGTTTATTTTTGCTCAGTTTGTAGAGGTTTCAGCCCACAGTCCACTGCTCCGGGGTAAGATGGGTGGCAGAGGGGCATCACAGAGGAAAAGTAGCTCATGGGTTGGTGGAAGAGGAGAGAGTGACCGGAGGAGCTGGACAGGAAGAGAAACCTTTCTGGACCACACTTTCAGTTACCGGCCTCTTCCGATCTGACCCTACCTCCTAACAGCAAGTCAGCTACAAGGCCCTATTGTCCAATCAACTCCCCAAAGTCCTACCAATAAGCACGTGAGACTCTTGAGGGACATCTAGATATAAACCATAACAGTCACATTCATAGGGGTCAGTTTTTCCCTTCACAAACCCTTAGTAACACATTGGCATTGAATAATTATTGAGTAGGGTGGCACAACTCCAAGTGGTGTTTTCATATTTTCTTTGTTAGTGTAGTGCACTACAGGGCTCCTGGGAGAAGTCAGGGTATGAAAACAGAGGGAGCTGGAGGAAGAAAGCTTTAAACATTTGTCTTCACCATCACCGAGACTGTGAGGAATCTCTGTAGGAGATTCAGGCTACCTCTGAGCAACAAGACATCATAAAACACAGACAAGGGTTTTGAGTTTTCAGAAATTTCTCCCAGACCTTCTATCTGTCTATAAGATCTCCCCCCCCCCCCAAATAATGGAAACAAAATTCAGGCCAAGCAATATATATTATAACCACTAATGTTAAATCAAAGGAGCACTGGAAAGAAATTATCGTTTAAAATCAGTCCTTTATTCTCATTGCTAATTCAAGATGGCTCTTTCATATCACCCTATGGGTTCATATTTTAAATATGCTTTGCATATTCACAAAGAAAGAAAAATATATTGGTGGTAGAAACTGCTTCATTATTCTTTAGAAAGGATCTTTTAATGGTTCTGTTCCAGAAAAGGCTGTTTAATTTCCTTCTAATGTGATATCACATGTGTCATTCTTTGACACTGAAAATTTTATTTCAAAATATGTCTTCTGGTAAAGAAGCTAGTTCTGACACACAGTTACTCAAAACAAAGTGCTGCTGATGTTCTAAGAAGATTGCACAAATGGGAACTAGAAAATTCAAATTCTATTACCAGTCTTGCTACTAATTATTAGTTATTGTGTAACCTTATACTATATACTCTTTGGACATCTCTGTTTCTTCACCTGTAAAATAAGACACATGGACTAGGGGGGTTTCATCACCAAAAAAAAAAAACGTTTAACACCTCCAACATTTTTTCAGCTTCTTACTCTTCCCCTATTCTCACATGCCTTTTTTTTTTTTCTTTCATCTTTTGTAGGTGGCCTATATCTGCAAGGATATAAGGTGAGTGAACAGATCCATAGCTTCAAACAATCAGCAACTGAACTCGAACCTCCATCAGAAGAGTTCAAGACTTTCTATTTCTGTGCAGAAAACAGGACAGAAAACCAATGGTAAGCCAAGGTCTTCATATTTCATCTTCTTTATCACTCCTGACAAGGCCTTTTTAGAAACCCCTTGTTCTTTTTCTCCAAGGCTACATCTTCAGTTAAATTCCTCCCTTTCTTTGCAGTCTTCATGGTTAATATTCCTTAGGATATTTTTTCTTGCAATGCCTTCTCAGATGACTCTTCTAGAAGAATTTTTAAATGGAAAAGCAGTCCTTGATTCTTCCCAAGGCAGTGACTGCCCCAGGGTTCAATATAAAAAATTCATTAGCACCATAATCTGTAAAACATTATAATTCATGAATCCATCAATTTTTATTTCCCCTCTTTTCATGTTTATGTTGGCTGTTTTCTTTTATTATAAGCCACTGAGGGGCATAAAACTTATCTAATTTGTGATATATTGAGTATCCAAATTGGTATACACAAATGACAACTTAGTTCATAATGATTCTGAAATACAAGAGAAATGAAGTTAACAGTGACAAAACCGTGAGGCAGAGCAATGTTCTCTAGTATAAAGAGCATCCTTTTCTGCCCCTGCAGTCTCCCTAACCTGACTCCAATCTCCAAGACATCCAGTGCCTTCCATCTCCCATCTCCAACCTCCCCTGTCCCATGACCATCCTCCATTGATTCAGACCTGTTTATCCAAATGGTTGGAAAAAGGGAGATGATCTAACAAAGAAATTTCCGATACCTCAGTAAAGCAGATAACATGGTAAAAATTTCCAAAGACATTGCAAAAACTAGATACACTGTTTGAATCCAAAGAAATAAAACTTCAAAAGTGGAATTACAAGGATCTCCATCAAATGCCATTTGGGGAAGAGACTCTGGACCTCTTCATCCTTCTCCCATTGTGTGAACTTTACCCGTGTGGCTCACTTCAAAGAATATGCTAGAGCAGAGGACAGTGATTCCCTCCCCAACAGCTAGGTATTTTGCCAGGATCTTCTTCCTGGGAATGCACTGTACAATCTGTGTGGCAGGTACAGTTATCCTCTTAAAGGCGAGCTCAGCTAGCATATCAGAGAAAAAGCCAATAAGATAGAGTTAGCTACCATATGATAAAATTCACTGGCTTCTCCATGACAGGAAGCTAATAGCTGGATCTCACTGTTAAATTCAAAGAGTATGAAACAATATTGAGTCATCAGTCAGAAACAATATTGAGTCATTAGGGGAATATTTCCAAGCAGAGCAGCTGACTGTTATGGAGTGCATGGAACTCTGGATCCACAAGATACTCCATGTATCTCTGAAGTTAGGCTTACAAAGTAATACAAGCTACATCCTCCTCTCAGAGAATCACACAGCACATTAGCCAATTAGTGTTTCTGAGACACACTGCTGGAAACATTCCTGGTTAATTCATTTTGGTCATAGTTGGTTTTATTTTTTAAGTAACATCTGCCCTCAAAATAACTGTTATAGGAATATGTTTTATTTAAAAAATTGATCAAGAAAATGAAAAGAAGGAAAAGGAAACAACTGGAGAGTTTGTAATTGTTTGCTTGAATTTAACAAATAAATATTTTGTTTGTATCGCAACATTTAATTACTGGAAGTTTGATCAACTAAACTTTAAAGCTAAATAGAAACAATAAAGTACTAATAACAATTTTTAAAACATTTCAAGAGTAGCTCCATTAATAACTACTAGCAAATATCATACTCTATTCTGATTGTATTATTTTTCAAATTTATTTTTATTCCTATCATTGCATATTCCACATTTGGTATTTTGCTTTCTTAATCCCAAATCTGAAGATTATGGTTAATCTTATTAATTTCAAACTCAATAACCAAGAAAAATAATTAGAAAATATATTTTAAATGTTGTAACATTTTACCTCCCCAGAGTCCAACAATTTGTTTAATGACTTATTCTACACTATTTTTTATCTACGTTATCAAATACCTCTAGCCCTCAGCTGAGAACTTCAACACATCAATTCCAGCATTAGTCCTGTTTACATTTCTACAATTTCAAGGAAAGATTTCATGTTAATTGAAATTCTATTCTTTTGCCAGAGAGTCTTAAATGTGAAAAAAAAAAACACCCCAAAATCCATGCCATCTTGGAAAGACCTCATGCTAATTTAAATTATATTCTTTCCTAGAGAACCTTAAATGTGAAAATAATATCAAAATTCATGCCATTTTTCCTACACTCTTTACCTCCCCTTTCCCAAAAAAGAATGTAAAGTCCTCAAGAAATTACTATACTTGCATTTTGTTGTTCACCATAACTCAGATAAAGGATGCTTATGAGGGTGTGAGATGTTCATCTACTAAGAGAAGCTTCCTAAACAAACTCATGCCAAAACAGGCATGCTGTAATACTCTGACCAACTTAATACTATAATTAAAAAATATTCAATTAACAATAACAGGCAGCCCTCCATTCTGAAAACAGTCCCCTTTGTTCTCCCAGTATCTGCCACAGTAATAATGAGCTCTTTCAGCAGCAGCATCAGTAATGCTCATGTCAGAAACCTGGGGCTCCCACATCTGCCTCCCAGAAGTGCTCCCTGCCCTCCTGGAGCCCCACCATGGAATGCACAGACTGCTGTTACCGGGCAGCCAGCGAGTGACCACAGCCACTGTAATACTGGCACAGAACTTTCCCAATAACCCAGTAAACTACGATTACAATTTTCTCTGAATCAAGCATTCACATAAATTGCTTGGAAACAAATGGTATCGACATTCAAAGTTCAGAAACATAGCCAAATCCTACTGTTCTTATCCCTGGAAAATTCTACCAGCCTGAACAATTTTGGATATTATGAACATATTTTGGGGGTGAGAATTTTTATGTGGAGAATGTTTTTAGTTTTCATATGATTCTCAGAGATCTATGACCTCTCCATCAAAGAGAAAAAAATTAATTCTAAGATTAAGAACATTTCCCAAGATCCACTAGACTTCCATCTCTAATAGATACAGTAAAGAGGAAAAAGTGCAAGACCAGCCTTCTGCACATGTCTGACTGTGCATTTTAGGGTTAGTCTTGAGGCAAATCAGGGAGCGTTCACCACAAGCTTACTGCTCAGTTAGTCCACAGTTGTTCACAGAGCACCTGCCGTGAGCCATGCTTACTGGCTGCGACAGGTCCACTACTGTTAAGAAAAGGCAGAAAGAAATTGTTCAGATCATACACTCTGCAGCCAGCGAGTTCTAGTTCAAATTCCAGCTTTGCTAGTTACTGTCCATGACCTTAGATAGGTTTCTTGAACTCTCCTTGCTTTAGTTTTTATCTGGAAGGAGGATAATTCTATACTTGCCTTATGTTTATGAAAATACAATGCACAATGCATGAAAAGTTCTGGATCTATGTGTAGCATCAGTTAACTCAGTATGATCATTAGCACAGACTTATCATCTTATATACAGACCTCACATCTCCGTGGATAGCTTCAGGAAAAATTTATCTTGGCTCCTTCGTCTTCTGCAGCAGCAGAGGATGTGCAAGAGATTCCCCAGAGATTCTATCTGGAGAGGATCTAACAGAACAGGATAAGTGTGGATTATGATTTTCTGGGTCAGATGCCTCCAAATATTGCCTAGGTCAAAACCCAAAAATTGGCTTCCAGTTGCCAGAACTCTACTGGTCTGTCCCTTTGATAAATTTGGCATGGTTTTCATCAGTATTCCTGGAAACCCTAAACTAAATATAAAATGTTCTCATAAGGTTCCTGCAGGGTCTACAGGTGCTTATCTAACACGGATTATTGTTCTGCTGCTATTCTTCTGCACTATTCTTTTCTTGACTTCCCTGCAGAATTGTATTCAGTGGAGATAAATTAACAAGTACCTAAAGCAATAATCTGTTCCCTTAGAAAGAGAACACTAAAAGCAATCGGTCTATTTCCTTATTTGTCTCACCTATAGAGTCAGAAAATTTTCCAATGATCTCTTGCTTTCAAATCTCTCAGTCTTCTATCTAGGCTTGGAACAATACTTCTTTTCCCACCTTTTGGGAAAAAAATACCTTCTCCATAGAGGTTTGGCCAAGTAGTGGAACGGCGTTTTTCATCCAAGTCTGCCCAGTAACCATGGATGTGAAAGATAATGAAACTATACAACAATCGTTTAGAAAGTAAGTGCTCGATTATAATAATAAATTCACATCATATTATGCTTACCATATGTAAATATGTATATTTTGTATACATGTACGTATATTACCCATATTTTCATATGTTTCCAAGTCTTTCTTTTTAGAATAGAATCCAGTGTGGACAGAGAATTTTCATTCCAGTGATTCTTCGTACACTATTAGCCTACAGTAGGTGAATACTCAAGATACGTAAACAAAATATTGAGTATTTTAGTAATTCATTGATAAATATTTTGAAGCAGAATGGAAGAATCTTACATCTATAATTATGTCTGCAAGGAAATAGGAATATGTCTCCCTAGCTAACTCTATGACCTGAAGCCTGTTTAATACTCAACATACACTGACGTTCAATATTCATCTAGTAAAGGTATAAATAAATGAGTTCCACTCATTGATCTGATCACAGATGGAATTTGAATCTGCTAATTTTGAGTTTACACTCTAAGTTACATTGGAATTTTAGGTCCTGAAAATTACAGAAGGTTGTGAAGAGAAGCATCAATTGATTATAATGATAGGAAATGGTAGCATACTCCTCAGGGGAAGCCTGTCTGAAAAGGGATTGAAGCATGAGGAGAAGTTCAAAATATCTTTCTCTCTGCTTTGGTGCTTTTTGTGCATCTGCTTTATTCTTTCTCCTTGAAAGATGACTTTAGTTGGCATAAAGCATGAGTGCATGAATTGTAAGTCTTTTTTTAATTCTTTTATTGATACATTTTAGGTATACAATACATTTACATTTCTCATTGGGAACTTGTACCTTTACATGATGTATTTTGATTCTTGAATTGTAAGTCTTAAAACCCAGTGATGGCCACAGTCCCTTATCAGACACCCACACAGAAAACTTGCTATTAAATATATGTCCAAAAATGGATTGGCAAAGTCTTTGTATCATATCTTGTATCAGTATATTAGAGTCATATATTCTGCATATCAGCAATAATAGCAAAGGCCCACACAACAACACATATAGAAGACTCAGTTTCAGAATGGTAGTTTTCCCCTTATCAAAGGTAAGATTTAGGAGCCTTCATAATTCAAGGGCACTTGATCCCTCATGGAAGTAAATTTGGACTCTTTTCTTTCCAAATATTTAAAGTTATGTCTCTTAACTTGCATGAAGGAACCTGGAATGATACCTAGGCAGCTGCTCTTCAAACTGAGCTGCTAATATTTGCCATTAAAGAGTCTTGAATGATTTGGCTTCTAAGTCAAGACATTTTAAAAGAAGGCACTATTAGTAATTGTACTGAGACAGACAATAGATGTAAATAGGAAGTGTCCCAGGCAAAGAGGAACTCATCTTGCCTTATAAATAATCCACACATTGGTGTCCTCTGCTTCTTTATGTGTATGGAAGAACATGATCTTTGCGGACAGCTTCAAGTTTACATGTTCTCAGGTCCAGTTTCCTGTGGGAGAATAATTTCTCTTTCAATCCCAATTCCAACAAATTAGGAAATAAATTACTCATGACCAAGGAGGTGAGATCACATTACAAGTATTACATTTTGAGAGCTCTGCAGCCCTAACTGTACATCTGCTTGGTGTGGAGTAGGGGGAGGAAGGGTTGCATTTCCCAAAAGTAGAGTCTTCAGAAAGCCACTTGTTGGAATTTTATCCTACTTACGTAAGTTTAACAGTATGGAGGAGACCTAAAAGCCAAAGAATTCTCATCAAAAAACTACAGTTTAACGAGTTTCTCTGTCAGCATTCAGTGGATGCTCGCCGAAGAAATTCCTGTGTCAGACAAAAGCAGAACCAGCCACAGCCAGACACTATTAAGCCACGGCCCGTGACTTGGTTTCCACCTCAGACACAACTGATTGTATTGCCTGCAACAAGTCGTTTGATATTCAGGTATTTAATTTCCTCATCTTTATTTCTGTAGTCCATAGACCCAATTGAAAAATAGATTTTAAAACTAGTTAACTGAAGCAAAAGTTCGTGAGAAATTATCTTTTCTTCTCAACTCCTAATAAAAGAATCAATTACCCCATACTTTTAAAATGTTGACATGTTTTACAATAAATTACAATGTAGCTGGGGATTATGAGGAAAGTATAGCTATCTGTAATTAAAATGATAAATGTAATACAAGAGCAGATGGACACTGTTCAAATAATAACGAATTGAAAACCTGACCTTTTATACAACTTCACTACCTTGTTGATTCGGCAGCACAGTGATAAAGTGTTCCATTGTGAGTGTGAGTTTGAATTGGGAACCCTCCTGGGTAAATGTCACTGAACCACACCAAACCTTTTATTTTCCTAAAATCTCCCCCTCAGACTTTCCAGCTGATTATACACACTTGTCCTTCATGCTTCATCAACTTCTCAGGTTATATATATAAATAAAGTATTTTGTTCAGTGTGTCTATTCAATTGTAGTCACTATAATTATTTCATTATGAAAAGAACCATGATGCATATATTTATGTTATAAAATAAGTCCAGCGGTAAGCCAGCCATATAGTAAATAAATGAATCAGATCAATCCAAAAGGTGATAAGTGCAAGAAAGAAAATAACCAGCTCATTCGAAGAAAGAATAATATTAGTTAGATTGGACAGGAAAAGTCTTTTAACTAAAATGAGACCCAAAGGTTGGATCTCATTTTGAGAATACCTAGATTTTCTTTTTTTTTCTTAAATTCTTTTATTGATACATTGTAGGTATACAACACAATTACATTTCTCATTGGGAATTGTACCTTTACATGATGCATCTTGGTTCTTATTTTTTCCCCATTCCTAGTCCTCC